CAAACTTGATGGAATGGACAAGAAACCCTCAACAATAGGAGCGCAAACACCCACACGTCTAAAAGGACCAAAAAGTTCACACCATAACCACCAAGCCACCTCATAGTATAAGAACAAATTTGCACAGATGGGTTGTTTGTCAGAAATTAAGAAATGATCTGCAATGACATCCAAGAGAGTCAAGCCTAATGGATGGTAACCTTCAAGTATGGCAAGCAAGTTCAATAATTAATATGTCTTCTGATCATTGCTTCAAAATAAAAATTAGAAATGTGGAGAAAAGATTGACATAATTTGGTAAGTTCACTTGTCATGAATATGGTTATGGGCCTAGATACTGAAAAGTCAGATAAGAAAGTTGCAGAATTTCACTGCAACTTCCTTTATAACCTATCTTGTTAAGAAACGCAAAATTTTAGGTTCCTTAAGATGGAAGTTAAGTGTTAAACTTAACTGAAAATACATCCATAATTTTATTCCCTCCAAGATATCTTAAACTTTATATGAACATACATGATGTAGGACAAAGAGAAGTTGAAGAGAAACACCTAGAGAAATTTCAAGCAAAAATTGGAGATCTTGGATCTTGATAAGCAAAATAATATCTCAATATAAAGAGAACTTGGAGAGAAAACTTAGAGAAATTTTATTAAGAACAAAACTTGGAGATCTTGAATCTAAATAATCAAAATAATATCTCAATATTTGAATAATAACAAGTAATCTACCAAATAACTAAGTTAAGGCACCTTAACTTATTTTTTGCAGATGTTACTCTGATCTTTTGTCAAGCTAAGAAGAAAATAGTGCAGAAGCTTGGTACTATTCTATTATGTTTTCAGGCTATCTCGCATCTCAATATTAATTTAAATAAATCTGAAATTATTATTTGGGAGATCTTGCTGATGTCCTGGGGTGTAAATCTTCCATTCTTCCTATTAAGTATTTAGGCATACCATTGGGTGCGAAATACAAAGAGAAAAGCATTTGGTTTCCGGTAGTTGAAATGTTTTAGAAGAGATTATGTATATGAAAGCGGAATTTCTTCTCCAAGGGTGGCCGTCTTACATTGATGAAGAGTGTTCTTTCTAATGTTGCTATTTACTATTTCTCTGCCCTTAAGGTTCCAGTTCATGTTGCTAAAAAGCTAGAAAAAATTCAGCATAGATTTCTTTTGGGTGCCGATGAGAAGAGAAGGAGAATGCACCTTGTGAATTGGAAGGAGGTGAAAAATCCAATTAGAGATGGTGGGCTGGGAATTAAATCACTTGTGCATGTGAATAGGGCCCTTCATGGCAAATGGCTGTGGAGATATTTGCATAAGGGTGACAGGCTGTGGAAAAGGGTGGTGGAAGCGAGGTGGAGTTTGTGGAAGAGAAGAGGTGTTTGGGAGAACAACCAGGAGTTTTATGAAACTGGTTTTTGGAAAGGTATTTAAAAGAGACTAGCAGGAAAAAAATATTATTTCTACATTGTACTGATTTGAATAATCTTCACACTTGAAAAGAGAATAACGTACAACGGCATTAAATAGCCGAGTAAGAAAAATATACAGGCCCTAATTAATGAGATTCTATCATCCTAATTTAATCATTTTAAATATAGAAAATTTACAAGATATTACAGAATATTCCTACATCCTAAAATTACAATCAATCTTCTTAAATGTAAGATAAATAATTAGGTATGAAATTATAGTCAATCATCTTAAATATAGAATAAATAATTAATTGACTTTCCTTCACCCCCCCCCTCAAGCTTGGCTGTAGATGCTGTGGAGTTCAAGCTTGTCAACTAATCTCTCAAAATCAGGTCTCTAGAAACTTTTAATGAAAATATCAACTATTTGACTTAAAGTTAGAACACAGATCATAGACCCCATCCCATCTTCTATCTTCTCTTTAATGAAATGACAGTTTATTCCAACGTGTTTAGTTCTATCATGATAAACTGGGTTATGAATGATACTGATAGCAGTTTTGTTATCACAGTATAGCTCTAGTAGTTCATTTCCTTGTTGCTTTAATTCTCCCAGTAAATTTCTCAGCCATATCTCACACACATTGTGAGTCAAGGATCTCAACTCAGTTTCTGCACTGCTTCTTGTAATCACAGTCTGTTTTTTACTTCTCCAAGTGACTAAGTTTCCCCAAACAAGCGAACAACACCCTGAAGTTGATCTCTTATTTGTGACCGATCCTAATCAATATGCATCTGTAAATGTTTCAATACTCCAATTTGAGATTTTCTTTGAAGAATAAACCTTTTCTTTGAGATTGTTTTAGATATTTTAAAACTCATGTATCTGCAGTCATGTGTTCCTCTGTGGGTACATGTATAAATTGGTTGACATAACTTACAACAAAACTAATATCAGGTTTAGCATGTGAAAGGTAAATTAGTTTGCTAACTAATCTTTGAAACTTTCCTTTATCGACTGATTTGCTTGTTTTTAAATCGCCGAATTTCACATTGGAATTTATAGGAGTGTCCGCAAGTTTGCAACCCAACATACCAATCCTTTAATAAATCAAAGACATACTTTTTTTGAGACACTGAAATTTTCTCTCAGCTTCGACTATCTTCATACCAAGAAAGTATTAAATTTTACACAAATCTTTCATTTCGTATTTTGAAGCAGGATCTTTCTTGACTTAAGGAATTTCCTCAATATCATCTCCTATTATAATAATATCATCAATACAAACTATTAAGATAGGCACTTTACCCTCTTTGTGCTTGAAGAATAGTGTGTAATCCGTCTGTGCCTGCATATAACCTTATCCTTTTATTGCTTTCATGAATCTGTCAAACCAAGTACATGGTCATTAACCCAAGGGTATAATAATACATACTATTCACTCCAAGTGCAAGAGGGAAATAAGCAAGAAAAAAGAAAAATTCTGCAAGACATAAAAAAGAAAAATTCTCATGGAATTTATTTTCTAATCATGTAGAAAATCTTCACAATTAAAGATCAACCAAGAGGAAAAATTACTCCTAAATTGCAAGCTATCTTGAGAAAGAGAAAAACTGCTTAAATGTCAAATCTCGCAGAAAAAGAAAATACCTGAGAAAGAGAAAAATATCTTTGCAAAATCTCTTCACCCAAATCAGTCACAATTAATTAAGATATTCCCCATTTAAAAAGTTTTCCTCCTAAGAAAATCATATCTATTCTATTTCAGTTGTAATTTTTTTAATATTTGCTAATTTTCCATTATGCTTTAGATTTAATTTCCTATGAAAATTTCAACAATTAATTAGGAGATTATTTTTTTCTCTTATTATTCGCATAACCTAGACTCTAAATACACATTCAATTCAGAGTTGTAATTCAATTCAAAATTTTCAACTTATTAATAAAATTCAGATATTCTTGTTTTAAACTTCCAAACTTGCAAGAGTGAGTAAGTTTTCGATTAGCTTGTTGTGTTAGGAATTGGGATCACTTATCGAGGTAAGTCTCATTGCATCTTTTTAATTCTAGTTATTTATTTCTTTCCTAGTTATCTTGATTTTCACTCCCCTATTGAATGCAAGTCAAATAGGGAGGGTTTGCTTAGAGTTTTGAGTTTCTGATTGCTGATATATATGCGGGGTTTCGAATTCTATTGTTGATATCTAGTTCCGCATCAATTGGTATCAGAGCCAAGTTTCAGTAAATCTACTAATGTGAAATCCAAGATCATCCAACGTGATTAAGAACTCACACAATTTCATTCAAGGTACCAAAGGAATTTTGATATTATGAAAACTCTCCCTACTTAACCTTCTATCAATAATGATAGGAATTAAAATCACTGGCAAACAAAGAATTAAAAGAAGAATAGAAAAACACCACAAAGAATTATCTAGATAAGTAGATCCACTCCATACTCAACAAGAAGAATGAAAACACCTCTTTTGAATAAGACTCACAATATTATTGATATTAATCTTGAATGTCTTACAATGAAAACTTTGTAACCTATTTATAAGCAAAGTCAAGTAAATCAAAAGAAAAATAAAATCTCTTAATTTAATTTGTAATTACATAGAAAATAAATTAAAAATTAAAAATTAAAGACTAATTTCCCAAGTAAAATAGATTTAATCTTCCTTTTTAATTAAAAGAGATTGTGATCAAATTAAGAGGGGAGACATGGAAATAAATTAAAAATTAAAAGCTAATTTCCTAAATAATATAAATTTAGTCTTTCCTTTTATTAAAAGATATTGTGGTCAAATTAATAGGGAGACATATGAAAAATTAGGGTCGACCATAAAATCTCCTTTTTGGCATATTCCCTCCTCTTTCTTTTGATTGGACCTTCTCTTTATGGTCCACGTCCATGTTCACATCATCTCATCTCCCTTAAAAAACGATTCGTTCTCGAATAAGACACTTCTTATGCAAGGGTTTCACCAATCCCATTTTCTTTGAGAAAATGTCCTACAAAAAAATACTATTAAATAAAAAATGTTTGAGGTGAGTTAATAATTTTTTCTTGAAAAATGGCCTCCTTAGCTCCTGTTCCATATAGTAACATTCTCTTTTCATGTTGCTCAATCCTTTATTTCCTCCAGACTTTATAGAGTTTTTGAGTTGCTGCTGATCTTTGAATACCTTCTCAGGTGATAGCGGTGCAAGTATAAAATTCTGACTATTCATGCGAAATGAATAACGATTCCTATAACCATCATAAGTTGCACACTTATCATACTGCCAAGGTCTTCAAATTAGGATGTGACTAGCACGCATGGGCACAATATCATGATGCATTTTATCAGTATATCACTCAATAGAGAAGGAAACTAATACTTGCTTAGTCACTTTCATCTCTCCACAATCAATCAAACACTACAACTTGTAAGGGTGAGGATGGCGCGTGCATAGTTTATCAACTAGGATAGTACTAACAACGTTGGTGCAGCTATCCCCATCTATAATGAGATTATATACCTTCTCATTTATAAGACAATGCGTGTGGAAGATATTCTCTCTCTAGTTACTTTCTTTTGGCTTGACTTGGACATTTAGAACTCTCAGAATAACTAAAGCTTCCCCTTCAGTTGGTTCAACACTTTCCTCAACATCCTCCAGTGGTGGCATTCTATCATTATCTTCGCTCTCGTAATCACTAGCACTATCAATTCTACTATCATCTCTCAATAGCATGATCTTCTTATTTGGGCGTTGAGAAGTAATATGTCCGGTTCTGAAACACCTAAAGCATTTAATTTTACTATGCTTTTGAGATGAGTTAGGTGTTATACCTTTTGTATCAAATGGTACAAACTTTTCCTTCTTCTCGTCTGCTCCCTTGTTTTCTTCTTTCACGGGTCATTCCGAGGCATAAGTAGGGGTGACATATGATGTGCCTCTCCTTTTATACTTGAGTTGTCTCTCGATTTTCATGACCACGTGCACCATGTCTTCCAGCTCAATATAATGCTGTAATTCCATCATGTTGTCGATGTCTCTGTTGAGACCTCCAAGGAATCTCATCATAGTTGCTTCGGGATCTTCTTCTATATTGGCCCTTATCATGGTCATCTCCATCTCCTTGCGATAGTCCTCAACGAACATAGACCCTTGCGCTAAGCGCTATAACTTTTGATGCATCTTTCTATAGTAGTAAGAGCATACGAATCTTTTTCGCATAATTGCTTTCATCTCTCTCCAAGAGGATATTGGTCGCTCTCCATTACACCGTCTAGTGAAGAGTAGTTGATCCCACCACACTAAGGCGTAATCAGTGAACTCTACCGCTGCTAGTTTGATTTTCTTTTCTTCATGTAGTTATGGCAATCAAAAACTAATTCTACCTTCCTTTCCACTCCAAGTATGCTTCAGCATCATTCCGACCCTTGAAAGGTGGTATTTTCATCTTGATGGAGCTGATATTACTATCCCTCCTTTCTTCTCTCCTCTTCATGTGATCTTCCTCCTCATCATTACAAAACCCGGTCTCATTTTCAAGGTGTTGAGTTCTAGGCCACCTTATATTAGGAGTTTTGCGTCTTGCTTCACTTCGACCACCACTTAAGTTATCAACTTTCTGACTAAGTCATGCTAATTCTGCATGCATAGCCTCCATAAAGAGCATTATGTTGGCAAGGCTTTGATGCTCACTTGATATTTTAAGAAGATTTCTTGCAAAAGGGTTAGTAAAAAAAAAAGTTTCACTAGTTCTCTCGTATTTCACTCACTTGGCTTTTATCCTCTAATAATCTCACATACTCTTATCTTTTACCTTTCTATCTTCTACTCTCAAATTGAGTGTCGGATAGATCTTCTTGAATGAAAATATTCTCAAGCATTGTTTTAAAACATTGCAAGAAGTCCTACAGAACAAATTCCACACCAATACTAGAAGTAAAATTGTAACACACAAAGGAAGAAGTAGTGTCTTATCAATTACGCTAAACTTTAAGATACAAGTTAGATGCTTAAATGTATCAGGGAACTAAAGTTTAGAACAATAAAAGAAACTGAGAGTAGAAAAAATTGACGATTTATAAAAGATGTAGAGATTCAGTATTGCCCTAAGAGAAAATCCTAAAGATATTCCTACCAATCTATTACCAATGTACATTACGTTCTCTATAAAAAAATGTAATCTTTAATAAATTATGTAAGTGTGAATGCACGTGATTGTAAAAAAAGCATTGTAAAATAAAAAGGAATTTTGTCTTATGAAGAGGAAATTCTTGCACCGTTTCAAAGAAGGATGGTTGAGTACCAAAAAAGTAAGTAATTTCCTAATGGGATTTCCTTCTTTTGATTCCTTTCTTTTCTCTGTTCTTTTTTTTCTCTTCTTTTTTTCTATTCTTTTCCTTTTTTTTTGGCACAGGAAACAAAATTGAAAGAAAAGTAAATTAAAAAAAAATATCGGTACTCAACAACGATTTTATCAAGTTAAAAAAGCGTCTATTGACGTTATGTCTTATTTATATTGATGTATGAGATAATCATTTTTTTGAATAAATGAACAAAAAAAATTAAATAAATAAATAAACGATGCAAGAATTTAAAAGTGCAAAAGTAAAAGATAGTAAGTTTAGATGAAGTCAAAACTCTGATATCAAATGATGCAGAACCCAAGATCATCCGACGTGATCAAGAACTCACACAATTTTATTCAAGGTACTAAAAGAATTTGATCCTATAAAAACCTTCCCTACTTAACCCTCTATAAAAAATGATAGGAACTAACTCACTGAGAAACGAAGAATTAAAAGAAGAATGGAAAAACGTTACAAGAAACTACATTGATAAATAGATCCACTCCCTACTCAACAAGAATGAAGACACCTCTCTTGAATAAAACTCACAATATTATTGATTTTAATTTTGAATGTCTTACAATGAAGACTTGGTGGCCTATCTATAGGCTAAACCAAGAAAATAAAAAGGAAAATAAAATCTATTAATTTAATTTGCAATTATATAGGAAATAAATTAAAAGTTAAAAATTAAATACTAATTTCTTAAATAAGATAGATTTAGTCTTTCCTTTTAATTAAAAAAAATTGTAGCCAAATTAAGAAGGAAGACATAGAAATAAATTAAAAATTAAAAATTAATTTCCTAATTAAGATAAAATTAGTTTTCTTCTTTAATTAAAAGATATTGTGGTCAAATTAATGGGGAGACATGAAAATTTAGGGTTCGCTATAAGATCTCCTTTTTGGCCTATTCCCTCCTCTTTCTTTTGATTGAACATTCTCTTTATGATCCATGTTAATGCTCAAATCATCTACTATCTTTCTAATTTACTATTTACATTTATTTTCTTACATAAAATTAGCATTTGTTA